TCGAGCACAGGATGTCCTTGAGACGATGTTACAACGACGACTCCGAGGAGCCATTTAACAAAATTGAAATGTGAGCAAAAGGGTTGAAGGTGTCACCGACAGCTCGCTAAATCATTGGTACAGGTAGTCAGGTGACCACCTATAAGAACCAATCTATTTGTCTTATATTAAGAGAACAACAAAAAATTTGTTAATGCCGGGACGGAGTTGTTGTCGTTTCCACATCGAAGGTGGACACGTTATTAAAGTAAAATCACTGGTTACACAAGGTGCGCGAGATTGTGACCGGTGACTCATGGCAGTCATTAACATGCTTTTTTGCGACTGCTACCAACCACCATCCTGTTGCTCCTTTTTCAACACTGACAAGTTAATAATGCGATGTTAAGTACGTAAATTTATTTTTTTTAAATTGAAAATCATTATAGAAGTTATGTGTGTCTAATAACATGCGTGCGAAAAGTCTGCGCTAAATATAATAAATTCGTCTGGAAATTCATTTTTAACGTCATTAATAATTCGTATTGTTACAGGTAAATGTGTCAACCTAAAGTTTTCCATGCAATGAAGATTTTAAGTCTGATGAATTAACCATAGACCCAATAACGCGAGCGATTATGCTGTTCAAAAAACAGTTTACTATCAAAGGTATCAGCTTACATGCTGCCGGTTGAATGATTTCGAGTTTTAATTCGAGCTTCGAGTTACGGATACAAGACGTCTCTCTGTTAATCGCTATCATCACTGACACGGATCCCTGGCGAGAGGATTAGCGATGCAAATTTTCCGCACGACCGGACGAAACTATCGACTAACGATATCGACTCGCCGAACGAAAACTGGACTAATGAAGACGTAGTAATTACAGTTCGACTGGTCATTACCAGATAACGAAACTGTTTGAGATAACGTTGCCGCTTGTGATAAATTTGTAAAAACATATTAGGTACAATAAAATTTGCAATTTACACAAATTTACACTGTGATATCATTCTGAATATTTATTTACCTACCAGAAAAATGCTCCTTTATCAAGAATTAATGAGTACTTAATTTTGATCGGCGTATATATCGGAGAGAAACATGATTGCCAAATGCTAATTGCAGTTACTAATGGTTTAGTATCCGTGTCATTGAAAAAATGTTAGATTGGATCGCGAGATGCCAGTGTCACTAGAATGAAATGCAACGAGAATTTTCATTTAACTGAAAACTGAAAGGAGGACAGGAATTTAGTCGTATGGTTCTCAATTGAAACCCGAAGCAATCGAGGTAATCGGGTCGCTCGTGTCGAATAGATTTCTTCACGATATTAATTATTTTATTTGGGAGTCTTCAGTTTTCTTAATTTTCAGTAATAAATTTATTGATTGTAAAAGTGTTGATCGATCTCAATAGAGGGATGAAATTTGCTAGAATCAAGCCACCGAAGGCAATTCGTACAAACGTATAACTCCCGTGTAATCTGTGTGTAAGCTGGCTGTTGTAACTCATGAACGTCAGCAATAAGTTTTCCTCCCCTCTGTAAATCCGACCGCTTCGAAGATTTCTTATCCGCCAGAGCTATTTTGTCAGCTACCGGGATTGTTTCGCGAATTAAAGGAGTATTGAAATGTATCTGTATCCTGACACATGTGTATTTAGGCTTTTTACATTTTAAATTAAATTGATGTTAAATTAAAACCCAAGGTGTAAAAAGGGAGTGATCGATTTAGAAGCTTAAATGCCATCAATATCCGTGTAACACGTTACTTATTTCACCCACATCGCGTGTCGTCATTAAATTATTACCCCTCTGCACGAACGGAACGAATTTTTCAACGAAATTGAGTTGCCTAACTGGATGGATATCTAATATCTTGATTAGTTCTGCGAACTTATCATTTCCGGAGATTTCGAAGTGAAAGTTCACCCCTTCCGCTGTTTTACCCTTAGTTTGCAAAAATTGACAGAATATTTTCCAGACACCCCGATTTCAAAGCAGAAAAATTTCCTTTCCTATTCAATGACCTCCGATTCATCCAACTATTCAAACTTGGCCAATCGATCATAAAACTTCCTCGCGTCTCAAAAAACACGTCCTACGAAAAAGAAAAGTAAGAAAGAACGTGGTCCCTTCGTGCGAGTAAACTTTTCGAATTTCCGTCCAGGATTCGAAGGTAGAAAATTTCAGCCTTACCGAATGGAAAATTTATTCAAGCACATCATTTACGATTCAACCGCATCTCGCGCCCGTAAGACGTGTTAAGATGAATTCACAAGGCAAAAGTTATCCTTGAAATGGGTCTAAGAAGCTCACGCATGATTCAAGCGGATGGCGAATGTTAGACACGATGCTACACGGAACACAACGACATTTCAGCTCGCTGAACACGTATGAAATCGCGCTGTAAACCTGAAGAGAGTTAGACTGTTAGTATTGCCTGAACAGTTCACCTAACTCGTAAATTATTTCATCCACGTGCTAACTTATTGGGACATTTTATTCGTTGGAATGTTTGCTAACACATTGATAAATAAATCTTTGAATTCACATTTCAAAATTTTCATTAAATTATTTAAATTAAATAAAAATTTCTAATTAAAATTTAAAATTACTATATTCAATGAAATTCAATGAAATATTAAAATTAAATTCTATTTTCAACATTTTACCCTATCTGTACTTGGATTGATATTAAAATTGTACCAATAATTCGAGATAATAAAGCGAATCGTTAAATTAAGAAACTCTGAAATGGACAGGGTCCCATAAAATTCGATTGTTCAATAAGAAATCGAAATTTCACGAGCGTTCCCACTTACGATATTACAAACAAAGCAACGTTCGTTGAAACTGAAAATCGATCGTGGCTCGTTAGAAGCAATGGAAGGAACTTCGTTTCCGTGTCAAGGAGAGCGTACAACGGCTGCCTCTGTGGCAACTGGCAGAAAGACGAGTGTAAGTACGATAACTGGATATATTTCATCTCTCTTCTCGACATTCATTGCACGTAACTACGCTCCTTTATTCGGTGTGCACGGTAAGCGTACCAGCCCGTGGATATTATTCAGACTTGGACGCGTAACGACCACGATTCCGCAACGGAGCGTAAAATCGTGAAATTCCATTCGACCGCATAACACTACTCGCCGTCTTTCACCTAGGTGACGATCAATTTGTGGATTGGTGATCGGATTTGAATCGTTGCGGTCGTAGAATAAGCTGAAGCGTTCCCCTTCGATAATCAGACGTTTGAAACCGCTTTTCTTAAGAAAACATCGATACAATGTTTGGGAAATTTTATACGTTGGAAATATTGTAATTCTAGAATGATTCATCTATTTGTATAAGTTGGTTAAAATATAATTAGGTATAAGAATTAGAATCTTATTAACTCTCTTTGCATGGCTGATTTTGGAAGACCGAAAGTCTGACCCAATTTCATGACATAAAAGTATCATAAAATTGCACTTATCCTACATCAATTTAAAGCTTAAAGTTTGTAGAAAATGATCTTATAAAGTTTTCATTAATATTTTTAATACAAACTGACTTGCAATATTTCAAAATTTTGTATCAGTTGTTTGGATTCCAAAACCACTGCCATGATTTATACTTCTCCACCAAAACGACAGAAAAAGAATATAAAGATGGAAAATGGTTCAATTTGTCTGCTGAACAACGTACCCTTAAGACACACATCATACTTTGATAGCAATTTCAATACAAGGATAAGAGATCAGAGAGCGTTTCGTGTTGGAATGCATTGGCGAGCTCGGAGTCGTGGAAATCGAAAGAAAATAGTATCGATTGCCAATTCTGCGAAGGTTAAAATTTATCCTTAGGCTGGTGAACTATAATAATTCCATATATCATCTCTGCATCTTAACATTTCGCTGTACACGAGTGATTTTCAGTCAGACGAATATTACATTTTTACAAAAATCAAGCTAGTTTTCAAGTATTATAATTAAAATACAGAGATAATATTGGTACAACCTAACCGATAGATCTCTACATAACTATTGATAATCAAACCCGTGATTAACAGCAGATATTTCACTCAAACTCACCCATCCTCTAAGTAACGTCTTCGAGTAATACGAAAATTCTAGTATAGACTTACAAAATTCCACAAATCATTCGTGCAGAAGTATCACGGACACAAAGGACCGTTAGAAAATTACACCGAGAAGAAAGAGAATAAAACACTACAACGAGGGAAAGGAGTCAATTGCAAGACGTTGATAGTAAGTTTGTCTTCGACCTCCGACCTTCTCGCACCACGTAACACGTATCGAACCTTGGCGATTAAAGTTAGGCGGAGGATAATGAGTTCCTGGACCGCAGGATATTGTACGCGACTTATAAGGATGCACCCATCAGTCTGGGACTAACATACAGAGTGTACCATTACATAATAAATATGATATTCAAAAATAAAACCTGTTTCATTAAAAAAATAATTCTATAACTAATGAATTTTTTTTGTTATTTATATATACTGAAATTATACTCACATGTTATGGTGCATTCTGTATGCATACGAGATCGATGCACCCCACGAATAGATGAACTGTACTCGACTGTTATTCGTAGGTCGTAATTCTGAGTCAGTCTATGGAGGTTCTATTACTCGGATTCAATACGATAGAGAGATGGCAATAATGCATGGATGCCGGTTCGTTGGAATTCCTCACGGCCCATTGCTTCGTCCAATAATCTACCGTGTCATTTACTCTAATAGCGTAACGATATCAATTACCACACAGATCGTGAAACCGACATTTGTTGCTTTCCTTTCGGCCAATAAAACAGTCGATGAAAGCAATAGAATCGATGAAATACGCTGCTAGAAACATTTATTCGTTTCCTACCGCTAACCCTTTCGCTATGATCTTTGAATTTCAAAATCTTTTATATAGTTCTAAATAAATTTTTAAATAAAATACCGCAGCAGGTGTGCGCGTTATTACGAGGTACAATAAATAAAATTGAAATTATTTGAAAGACTCACCTGTCAACTCTGGCAAGAGTCGCGTGTAAATGGAACACCGCGAGGTGGAAGGCGCGTCCTGAAGGGAAAGCCACAAGTTCGCACAAAAGAAACGGTGAAATAAAAAAATTGTAGGACAGGTCGACAACCTCTGCGGACTGGTGGTTGGCTCGTCTACGATGAGGAATGGTCACGATTCGAATTCCAGCAATGCTGAACCCTCCTGCAACAGGAACAGATCGTTGCAATAACGTGGCAACACGGAGCACAAGTAAGATTAGATATCATCTTACATGCCTCTAATTAGAAATTTATTTACGACCAACTGTACACCGAGCAACACAAAACGTTTCTACATTAGTGAATGGAAGCAGATTATTTATTGACGAGGCTTGCATTAAAATCATTTTTGAACAAAATCTATTGAAACAAAGCTTACATTAGAGGGTATTCTTCCTAGGTACTTTGTATTAATCGATGTAGACAATCTATTGAGACATAAACGAGCAAGGGTACAAGGTAAGCGAAAGTGCATTCTTGCTCAGTAGCTTGCAACCAATGATCACCGTACAGAAGGTATTAAGACATAAAGAAGCAAATGTACACGGAAGAGACTCGAGAACGGAACATGTAATTCGAAAGGCAAGTATCCTCTGTACGTTAAACGCTGACGACCTTTTGACTCGATCTGACTTACGAGAAAGTAACATGCAACGAATCATCGTTCGCACGATCTTGCAATGATACACGGTAAACAGAAAATTCACGTCTGACTTTGCTTGCGATCGACGGGTGTTACATCCCCCCTCCCTTAGGATTTTCGTTGAAGGTTCATTGAATTTTTAAACTTTGCAAAGCAAATTCGTTACCATTGTCTAATTTGGTAAAATGACATATTAAATAATAGCCCATTTATGGAAATCCAGGGAAGGGTTGAAAGCCTCTAAAAATTTTCCCTAGGAATTATTAGGGTTAAAATTGCAGTAAGCACAAAATTATTCCAGAGTCCTAAACACACTATCCCACATGTGGGTCTTACGCCACCCACATGCCTCATACCTACACGTCCTACCTTCCTACGCGCCTACATCTAGAATTCACCATGTGAACAGGCACTAATGTATTCCTAGTCGCGAGTGTGTCCGCAATATCTTCGACTCGCTTCTTTCGCGCCGCTACACTATATCTTCGGTTATCTCAGCCAGAGAAGAATCGTAAATTTGAACGCGCGGCTTAGGTTCTGCGTAAAACACTCTACGCAGCTTCCTGCAATGATTTACGCGTTCCCGTCCGTCCAGCCTCGCGAACGACGTAAATTCTGCTCGCGTAAACTGGCCAGATTTTCCCGGAGGGAATCGCCAAAGGGTGTCTGACCAACGGGAAACGTCGCCTCAATTGAGTCGTTCGAACATAACTTACGCGAATGTACGCACGTGCTCGTCGATCGTAAGTTTGAGACAATCTACGGGTACATCAGACATGTCTTGTCTTTCAGACATTACGATCTGCTTCTCGACGTTGATTAGTCAATTAAACAAGTACAAATAGAAGGAATCACGGATCACGTTATTTCTGTATTAACAAATGAAAAAATGGAAATTTTTATGAAAAGGAAATTTAATATTTGTAATTTGATTACAAGCTGAAAATTGAAAATCGAATAATTTGAAAGAAGAAGGCAAAGTTGTCGTGTCCGTCTGAAGATACAAACTTCAATCAAATACACCCACGTTTTGCAGCAATTGCAGCAGATACGAAGGCAATAAAATTGTCTGATAGTTTCGCAGTATTGTCTGGCCGCGGGCTCGAAATCGTTCGCAATGGTACGCCGGGGCGAGATCTCCGGATGTAAGTCACGTTCCGGAACATCATCCTGGCAGCCGTTCGCCAACGCTCCAAGTTAGTTTCATTAGGGTCAGAAAAGGCGGTTGGCGTGGTGCAATAAAGCGTTCCCGATGCAACGTGCATTCGCGCCGCGATAAGAATATTCCGACTTGAATAACTAAAGATTATAACGGCCGATAGACCACCCGCGGCTCGATCATTTCACCCGTCACTCATCAGGATTTCTTTTTTCGCTCCGCCGAGATTGCAACGCGCCGATCTTATCGGGTGTGAGCCGATCGGGAACACGAACGTACATACATTTAATTTCCGCCTGGATCGACGGAATCCGGGTAAAAAGTTGCGAACACCCGGAAAGGGAGGGCGCGGAATGATTAAGAAAATGATCGTTTAATTCGCGAAATCTACCGGCGGCTGCCTGCAAAAAGGACTAATCAACAGGTGTATGATGGAAAAAAAAATATATAGGATGCCTTAAAGTAGCTTCCTGTAAAGCGATAATCACGCACGATATAATTAACGAACACGATATTTCATGTTCAAGTTAATCTTAGCGTACGCGAAACGAAGAAGCATCGACGGGGGTTGTGACTCATAGCGGGGGTATAGAACCGTAATTTCCTGTAAACCCGGAATAACTGTTTTACGATACTTAATCACGAACACGAAACAGTCGCATATTTGATAGATAAATCTGTTTTTCCTGAAGTGCAATTAAGAATATCGTGCGGGTAACTAATTAACAAAATTTTATCCTTTTCATCGTTCCCTACCTTGAATTCCCTTTAAAATAATCCTTACAGAAGATCGTTATCAATTAAAACGATCGGACGTGTAGAAGAAATATTTGAAAGATTGGAGATTGAGATTTAAACGATGATCTGGTTTTACGAACAGAATCCTCGGTCGAAAGGATCGCGCATCAATCAACAATTACGATCGACAGAAGAAAATCCCTGTAAGAATGTCTGGGTTTGAACGAGTGGAACGTGACCAGCACAATTGTGTACGAAAAAAGAGGGGATCAAGGGATGCGGGGGTTCGTGCCTAAGGGAATTAGGTTTGCAGATGTATCGCGGAGTTCGTCGATTCGCGTAAAATGCGGCTCGCATCGACGTTTCTTCGCTCGCGTGTGCCGCTCCTTTTCCGCGAAGGAAGGATCCTGGAATGCGATCGTGGCAAGTGCCAGTTTCGCGTTAACGCCGTTTCAACTGGCAAAAAAGAGGAGCTCCTTGCAGAACGATCCAGATTCTCAGTGGTTCACGCTTCGCTGTTAAGCGTTTATTGACGTGAGAACACTTGCCGTTTACCGATAACTCGAAGGAAAAATTTCGAGTATTCCTCCAATCGCTTTGGAATTTTATTAATTTAATACCAAAATTGGTAGAAGATTAATTTTTATTTTTTGGGGGAAAAACGTCCTAATTTTTAAGATTTGAAAATTATAAAATTCTTTTCTAAATTTTCGACTTTCGAAGGAGAAAATTTTAATGTTTAATGAACCTACATGTTCAGGTATGCTAATTTTCTAAATATGTAAATTTATGTGGAAATGGCCATAATTCTTCCAACGATTAGTTCAATCAGAAATAGCATCGCGGATTTCTGGCTGCACTAATGAATATAAATCGTTAATTTTTCATTCCCGTTTCTTCGACGATGATTAATTACCGCGTAATCCGTGGCGGAAACCGAGGACAGCGTGTAATCGGTTTCAAGCTCGTTAATACGACGTTGCACGCGATTAGGAGAATAAGTTGTTCGAGATAGTCCACGGAGCAAAGACGGAACAAGTTTGTTTGGAAAGCGGTCGCATTTCCTCTGCTTTTGATATCCGGTCGCGATAACATCGTCTCTTAAGCTGCTTACGTTTACGAGTCTCTCTCGTGGCTAGCTTTTAAGATTCTTATCAGTGATGGAACACGCATTATCTACTAATGCCTCGTCACAGATCGGTACACGCGTGAAACGTATGCTCGACAAAGGTGACGTTCGAACGTAAACAGTACCTTGTTACTATGATTAAACACGCAAGATACAGATAAAGTCCAATCGATACAACAAAAACAGCTCCCCAATTTAAAAATAAAAGTCCTAAGGTAATTTGACAAAAAGAGAAATAAATGTATTTTCTGAAAAGTAGACTTGGCAAAATCTACTTAAAATGTGGAACAAATAACCTTCAGACTAAAAAGAACTGTTCCAATTATAAATGAACTTCGAAGACAATTTGAAGGAAGGATAATTACCAACTATTGCCTAGAATATAAAACTCGCGAAACGTGTTTAAAACGACCATCCCATTACGTACTCGACAAAAACCTTTTTACTCGTCGCCAAAGCAATCTCCATAAAACAAGACCCCGCGATCGATTCAATTCGCTCTGAATGAAATTAATCAAGACAACCGATACGTCGATTCCTATAATAAAGCCGAGACAGGCGAACCGTTTACCCAGTTCGTTTTTCCAATCGTATTCGAATCCCTCAAGAGCTCTTGAATTATCTATTCAACTTCGTTAACGAACAACACGCGTCTACGATACTGTAATGAACGTTCCGAGTACCGTGTACTGAATCATTCTTCATCAAGAACTCGACCATTCTCGCCGCGATGATGCATAAAAGATAATGGCTATCAGAATGAGAATTCGAGAAGTCGTCATCATCCTCCATCTCGGTATGGATGAAAATTGCAGACGAATGCTTTTCAAACTAATTAGATTTCATCCAGTTAAACGTGACTCCAAAACCGTGTACCTCTCGGGTTGTGCTCGTTTTTCATCCGGTGTCTTCTTGGCAGGGCAAAAAAGCCGATAAGTCGAGGCGATTACTATTAATCACAGCGATTAAACTATTTTCCCGCGGTGCAGCAGGCCCCGCTGCCTCGCAGCTGGGAAGCTGCCAGAAGAAGGAGGAGCTCGGTAAAGGCTGACCGGAGAATCGTGACCTAAGGCTGGCTTTTCTAGCCGGCCTGCGATTACCGATTAAATCGCGGACGCGCTGGATCTCTTCGTTCGTGTGCAAACATACGAACGGACGAGGGGTCGTGGCGGGTGTAAGCAACACGATGTTGCCGGCGCAACGGTAAATTCTTTGGGAACGACTGCTCATGTTCACTCAAGAACGGCTGGTTATTTATGAGGAGAGGATAAAGCCGGGTCACGGATGCTAAGGGACCGTTTTCGACTGGTGAGAATGGGGCATTGATAATGGGACATGATTGAAGGAACGCGAGACGATGCTGGGGAAATGATATGAAATCGGAGAGCTTGAGTTACGATAACCGGTGATTCCACCTTTTCATCATTTATCTTGGTAGAAAATATTTTAGACCACGATGAATTCCATAGATCGTTAATTAAATATTTTTGTCGA